AAAAAGAAGGGAGTTTCGCCCAGTGTCTTGCATTCCCCAAATAAATAAAATTGGTCACTCACTCCATGCCAATTTGTGGGACATTGCGCAAAGCTAGCTGCTGCATTTCGCCCATAAAATACACAGTCAATCTACTTTACAGTATATGCTTTGAAGAGCTTTAAAATAATTTGTTGATTTGATAAGGTGTTATATCAAATGCAATGATTATTATTAGTTGCAGATATTATTCATCCACCTATGCAAAAGTAGACATGCTGGATTTGTCCTATTTAATCTAAAATTCAAAATAGTTTAGAATTATGTTTATAAATAGTCAACTGTCTTTATAATGAATGGTTATTGTGAATATATAAATATTGTAATATTTGCACTATATTTTGTGTAAGTTTGTGCAGGGGATATGATACATATGAACTTCCAGAAGACCTTTAATAAGGTGACACTTATGAAACTTGGGGCATGTTCAGAATGGATTGAGAAATGGCTAGAAAATAGGGTAAAAAAGAGTAGGAGTAAAGAAATAGGAAGTGATGTTCTGCAGGGATCTGTATTAGGATCGCTACTATTCCCCACGTACATAATGATTTGGTCTCAGATTTTGGAGGTGTGGTGTCAAAATATGCAGATCATGCTAAACTTGGAGGTGTGGTAAATAATGAACATAATTGATGTATGATGACATAAGTAGGCTTGCATTATAGATGGATGGGTGGCAGAGGAAATTTAATGTAGAGGTGTGAAGTGATTCATCTTGGAAAGAAAAATAAAGAAACTGACTACACTCTCTAGCCCCACCTTAACTTTGTGATCCCCTTGAAACACTGAGCCAGACCCTTTGGGTTGTAGGGTAGGGTTGAGCGAGGTTGTAGAGGGATTTGAATGTGAGGACAAAGATCTGGAATTTGATCTGCTGGGGATGAGAGTCAATGGAGACGAGCAAGGATAAGAATGATACATTCACGGAATCTGCTGTGGGAGCGGACATGAATTGTTGAGTATTGGACTTGTACGCTTGCTTGTGTAGAGAGGAGGTGAGATTTCCGACGAGCAGGGCGTTTGAATGTCAAACCTGGATGTGAAGAAAGCATAAATAAGGGTTTCGACAGCCCAAGAAATGAGAGTTAGTGGCAGAAGCAGATAGTGTTGCAATGGTAAACAAAGTGGGGTCAAACAAGACATCGAGTTTCTGCATTGGCTCTGTGAGAATCTGTACAGGTTGATCCTGTCAATGGTTAAGTTGAGAAATCGCTGACAGGAGCCTCAGTCTTGTCGATATTAAGATGCAGGAATTTGGAGCTCATCAGACTTGATAAACGAAAGTAATGTAAAATTTAAAAAGTTTATATAAAATCTATGAAAGCAAACTTTTTAAACTTAATTTTTAAATTTTAAATGAGCACATAAATGAAAAGTGCAAAGTACCACTTTATGTGATCACAATGTACAAGTGATTCAAGCCTAGCAATACAAATCAAAACTCCTGGCTTTGTGCTCTGCAAGTTACTTGTATTTGTAGTGTAACTGTGGCAGAGGTTAAACTCATGGCCAGTCACATGCATCACATCAGCAACGTCTATCACAATATTTGAAGACAATAATTTTGGCTGCTTGCAGCATTCTTCTATAGGAACATAGGAATTAGGAGCAGGATTAGGCCATTCGGCCCCTCGAGCCTGCCCTGCAATTCAATAAGATCATGGCTGATCTTCCAGCCTAACTTCATCTGCCCGCCTTATCCCCATATCCCTTAATCCCTCTATCCTTTAGAAATCGACAATCTCAGTCTTGAATATGTTCAACGACTGATTATCTACAGCCTTTTGGGGTAGAGAATTCCATCTGAGTGAAGAAGTGTTTCCTCAACTCTGTTTGAAAAGGCTGACCCTTAATCTTAAGACTGACCAATAGTTATAGATTCTCCTACCAGGGGAAACAGTCTCACACTGTCTACTCTGTCAAGCCCCATAAGAATCTTATATGTTTCTATAAGATCACCGCTAATTCTTCTATATTCTGGAGAATATAGGCCTAGTTTACTCAACCTATCTTCATAGGTCAACTCCCTCATCCCAGGAACTAACCTAGTGAATCTACACTGCATCTCCTCTAAGGCAAGTATGTCCTTTCTTAAATAAGGAGACCAAAACTGCACACAATATTCTAGGTGTGGTCTCACCAAGGCCCTATACAGTTGCAGCAAGACCTCCCTACTCTTGTATTCTAACCCTTTTGCAATAAACGCCAACATGCCATTAGCCTTCCTAGTTGCTTGCTGTATCTGCATACTAACTTTTTGTTAGTTTAACTACAATTTAAAGGACACCCAAATCCCTCTGAACACTAACACTATCTAGTCTCTCCCCCTCTAGAAAATAATCTGCTTTTCTGTTTTTACTACCTAGGTGAATAACTTCACACTTCCCCACATTATATTCCATCTGCCACCTTCTTGCCCACTCACCTAGCCTATCTATATTCCTTTGCAATCTTTTTGTGTCATCCTCAGAGCTGACTCTCCCACCTAGCTTAGTATCATCCGCAAATTTAGATATTTTAAGTTCTATGACCTTGTCTAGATCATTGATATAGATTGTCAATAGTTGAGGCCCAAGCACTGATCCTTGTGGCACTCCACTAGTCACATCTTGCCAATCTGAGAAGGACCCGTTTATCCCTACTCACTGTTTTCTTCCCGTTAGCCACTCTTCGATCCACGCTAATATATTGTCTTTAATTCCATAGGTCCTACTTTTGTGTAGCAGACTTTTATGTGGCACCTTGTTGAATGCCTTCTGAAGATCTAAATACACAACATTTACTGGTTCCCCCCTATCTAACCTGCTAGTTACATCCTCAAAGAACTCTAAAGATTTGTTAAGCATGACTTCCCTTTTGTAAAGCCATGTTAACTCTGCCTAATCATGTTATGGACTTCTAAGTACCCCACTACGACATCCCTAATTAAGGATTCTAGAATTTTCCCTTCTTCTCTCTCCCACCCTTCTTAAATAACGGTGTTACGTTTGCGATCTTCCAATGGGAACCGTTCCAGAATCCAGAGAATTTTGAAAGATCAAAAACAAGGCATCCACTAGCTCAGCTGAGCAATAAGGGAGTGGGTTTTGAGTGAGGTTGAAGTGGGTTCCTTTAAAGGGAGGAACCTCAACAAATATCAAGTGCACTTGGCATGTTTTTAAATTGTAGTTAAGAATTAAGGAGCACTTATAACCGATTTATACTTTATCTCTTCCCCTGTCCACGGAATGGAAATGTGTTTGATCTTGAAAGCGAAAATCCCTCTTAACAGAACTCCCCTTATTTTAACATTGAATACTTGCTTGTTTTTGAGGGAAATTGGCAGGGAAAAGTTTCTGATGGAATGAGCAATAATAGGATGATGAATTGCTTGGTGTTCACTAATGGTGGGCCTGTTGCCTGATATTTAACCTTGCATGTTATTCAACAGAAATAGACTGAAAAAACTCCATGATAAATATGTTATTTGAACTATTATATGCGAATGGAGCATTCAAATCTAAATACAGTTGATGATTATCAAACATTTTGTTCCCTCTTTTTATTTTGGAAATTTTGCATCCTTTCCAGGAATATCTTTCCCCTAGTAAGACTTTTGAGTCCTATAGGGGAAAGGTATCCTGGAAGGTCATACTCTTATGATGCCCAAGCTTTCCATGGGTTTGCAGTGAACCTTGATTATGTTATGTGGCATCAACACACGTTCATTTTCATTAAAGCAAGGTCACTGCAAAGTCTGTGCTGGAAGTGACACTAGCTGTGACCTGGCAACCTAGAAGCAAGATCAGCAGCCAGTGTTTTGTGGACTGTTATTATGTGGTGTCTTAAGTTTATGAGCCAAATGAAAATGAAGACGTCTGTTAGCTTGAGATGACTGAGCTGTAGCTTGACATGACTGACTTAGTGTTTGCATCCTCGTCGTTTTCTTTGTGCCCTTCATGTTGTTGTCTAGTGTTTGTCTGTTTTTCATCCTTGCAAGACTCGGGAAACCTGGCCTTTTTGTGACTCCTACCAACACCTTTCATGGTGTAGTTTGCAGTAGTTTCTTGGTTTACAGTAAAAGTATACTGCAAACCAAGCAACCACCCATTCCAGATATTCTGATTCCTTCACTATTGTGCCTCTGACTTTTGAGTTGAGTTGCTTGATCTGTAAATATCACTGTCTTACTTTTCTGGATGAATCACTGAGCAACTTGATTTAGAAACTAGTGGAAGGCAGAGGATCTTTAATAGTGTTACAATATTTTTCTAAGTGGCTACATGCAATGTGTTTAAGACCTCTGATGGTTATCCTCAGGTGGAATACTTCTCAGATTAAGGGGCCGTTAAAAGGAGAGAGCCCTCAGGCACAAGATACTGTATGGCAGCATTCTCGTGTTCTTGAATGGGCTGACATTTCATTAAACCTCAGTTAGGACCCCAAACTATTCAGCACTCTGTTCCTAACAACTATTCAGATCAGGTAGACATTTCTACATACTGGACATTCCCAGGTTTCCAACTCCCTCTTACAAAACAGAGAATACTACAGAATTTGTTTGTGACAGTTTGTCCAGTGATGTGTTTGAGAGATTGATATAATGCAAAGAACTACAGCAACTAATAACTAATAGATTTCTATGAACTCTGATAAATGCTGTAGGATGCACCATTTGTTTTTGTAACCTATATTCTTTAAGTGTTATTTAAGCATATAATGCTAGCCTGTATTGTACAGGTCCTCAAGCAGAACAGATTATTTGTATTATTAGGTAACAAGTAGCTGGGATGGTGTAAACGGACTTAATCTTAAAACTGAAAACTGATTTAATTTTTTAAAAAGGGAGCAATCCTGCCATTGAATCAATAGGTTAGTCATGCATAGTTAGATTTAAACTGTTACTGTTTAAAGTAGAAAGGATTAAAAATGATTGTTTTCAATTTAGAATTTTGTTTTAATTATTTGTTTCTTTCTTTCAGAATAAGTCTGCATCTGATGAAACTGTTGAAGAAGAAGGATTCATGGGCATTGCTCCACTATTACAAGCCCATCATGCCATGGAAAAGATGGAAGAGTTTGTCCACAAGGTCTGTTTACCACAACAAAGATTCTTGATCAAGCTAAATTCAGTTTCAGTTGGTTGTACTCTTACCTCTTAGTCAGAAAGTTTGAACTCCACACCAGACCTCAAGCCCATACTTAGATTAGTTTATACTTAAATACCAGGAGAATGTTGTATTGTTAGTCATGCCATTCTTTGGATGAAATATGAAACCAATGTCCCATCTGCCTGATGTGGTGTTTCAGATGGTCAGTAAGCATTTTTGATACCATTTCAAAGAAGAACAAGTAATTCTCCCACTATCCTGGCCAATATTATTCTGTCATCCAAATTCACTAAAGTAAAATCTGGTTATTTATCGGATGGTTGCCCTTCCCAATCTTCTCTCAGTCTCCGATGATTAATAATAAATAATAATCCTTGCATTTGATATAGCGCTTTTCACGTCGGGAGGACGTCCCAAAGCGCTTCACAGAACACACTGTAAAGTGAATTGACTGTATATTTGTGGGCGAACGCGGCAGCCAATTGCGCACAGCAATGTCCCACAAACAGTCTTAGATTGAAAATGACCAATTTATTATTGTTTTTGTTTTGGAGGGATTATTATTAGGCGTGTGGAGTAAGGAAACTTGCCCAAGGTTTCGCCCTGCCTGGAATTGAACTCAGGTCTCTCACTTGCAAAGCGAGTGCTCTAACCACTGAGCCACAGAACTCCAGTGGAGCCTAACTGTAATTATTCTTGTAAACACAATTTAGATTTCATGTATTTCCATTGATTAAAATTATTTCTATTTTTTTCAGTACCAATATTTTAGCTGATAACCCTGACAGACCAGATCTCATTATGCCATTTAAGAAAATGTTTTAAAGATAATATGCATAGAAGATACTTTCTTTCCATGCTCACCAGTCCATAATAGCACACAGTAAACTAACAGTGCTGTCACACACATTAAATTTATTATCACTAAACATGGTTTTTAATTTCTGACAGTAATAAAGGCAGGTTACAGATTTTCAATAAAAATGAATGAACCGACTAATCCTAGTTGTTGTGAATGATTTAACACCTTCACAGCTATATTCAGTACCTAATCCAATTTATTTTATCTAACTCTTATCACCTCTTCTAAAATTGCAGAGGTTAGCAGATCCCATGTCAATTGAAGATCAATTTCAAATCTGCATTGAGCTGTCCTGGTTCTCTGTACCCAATATATTTATTAGTGGCTTGCTTCCATGTAGCAGCTGTTTTGCTCAATGCTGTGAACAGCAGCCAGCAAAATTCTGCACAAATTAGCAACTGGGCAGGACTGTCCTTAACAGTGCGAGTCTTTTCAGGCACTCTTTTTCATAGGGCAGCTGTTAACTAAGATCATATGAGGATTCCTTTCACTGTGCTTTTTGCTCTTCTTTTGGAAGTGAAAATAATAATATAAATAATAATCCTTGCATTTGATATAGCACTTTTCACGTCTTCTGGCCTCTCAAAGCACGTCACAAAATATACTGTAAAGTGAATTGACCATATATTTGTGGGCAAAACACGGAAGCCAATTGCGCACGGCAGTCTCCCACAAACAGTTGTGGATTGAGCGGCCAAGTTATTATTGTATTTTTTGAAGGATTATTATCCCTATAAAAATGATCCACCAATCGACTAACAACCGGGATCTTGCTTACTGCTTGGTAAACATGTGGAGTAAGGAAACTTGCCCAGTATTTTGCCCTGCCGGGAATCGAACCCAGGGCTCTCACTTGCGAGACGAGTGCTATAACCACTGAGCTACAGGACTCCAAAATAATATATGGCATAAGAAGAATAAATAAAGGTTTGTAAACTTAGATTTTAATATCCACAAAAATAGGCTCTTATTTCGAATCCAATTAAACGTTCTATCCTATTTACCTAAAATTCCATGAACCTTCTTTTAACCAATTATTAATTCCATTGTAGTTCCAGCGATCACTGTGACCTTTTTCAGTGACCTTTTTTGTTTAATGTACTTAAATTTTTATTTTTTATAATAAACTACTAATTCTTTATTTTATGACTCAATAAAGCAATCATCAGATAAATATATTTTCCTGTGTTTTATAATTAAAGCTCTACATATTTTTATGTAAGGGAGATGTTCATTAGTATATGTTGCTTAGAATTAATTTAGGGTGGCCACCAAATGACTTAAACCCACCTCTGAATGGACAATAAATACAATTATGAGTAATTTAGACCTTTTTACTAAGTTTACTCTTTGCCAGTACAAATCTTTACTTGATGGATATTAAAAGTGCCTTCAATTAAAGCTAATTTCATGTTATTGATCAAATATTTATTTAACATCACTTAAATGTATTAAAACCATATACTATACTTACCATTACTGTTTGCCTTGTTCATTAGCACTCTTTGACGTAGTGAGTGATGATGATGAGTCACTTGACAGCCTGAGATCTATTTCAGCTTCTCCCTTGACTAGTTCTATCCCATTCATGGAGGACGCGCGTTTCCTATTCCTATTTCATTTTTGTAATATCTTGCATTTATCTGTATTAAAGTTCATAATGAAAACTATGAACTTTTGAATCTCTATAAAATGTTTCATAAACCTTGTTTCACTGTCGGGTAAAATAAAGTAGAGTTGTACAAAAATTCACACAGCAGAGATTCAGGAACTGCCTGATTTATCAGTGAGATCTATCTCAATAACTTGAAATACCGTAGTACCAATGTGAATGTCACATGGTGAAGGCCCACTTATATGATTTACTGTGGATTTTGTGAGTCACTTAACACAATACAGCAGCCTTACAATTGAAGGACCCTTGTAAAAAAAATTCTGAGGATTTGAATGTTTTCAACACTCAGTTAATCAACTAACCTGGTAAAGCACTCAAACTTCACTCTGATAAAATAACTCCCAAGACCTTAGAAAGCAGCTGCCTATTCTTTTTAATACATGTATGATTTTATCTGCTTGCATCATATTTTGCTTGTTCCCCTAATTTGTGAATTACTGCATTGTTTTCTCTAAATTGAACTATTTTCACTGTGCTGAACTATTACCGTTTAATTGTATTTGCTTGTGGCCATTTTATTTATTCGGAAAGCTCCATAGCTTAATTTATTTATTTAGTTAACTGACTGAGGGAATAGTTATATAGTTAATAAAAGAATTAACAGACCCATCAGCCAACTGACCTGTAAACTTTTATATTTTCTTTAGACCTGTATAATGCGTTATCTTTAAACTGGCAGCTGGACAATAAACTGAAGCTTAAAATATACCAAACTTGTTTCTGTTCCTATTGAAGGTGTGGGAGGGCCGGTGGCGTGTCATTCCCCATGATGTGCTTCCTGACTGGCTGAAGGACAATGACTACCTCCTGCATGGTCACAGGCCACCTATGCCATCTTTTCGCGCCTGCTTGAGAAGTATATTTAGGATCCACACAGAAACTCTGAACATTTGGACACATCTCTTAGGTACAGAACACTGCTAAGCAACTGGTTTAACTGATCATATGTAGCATGCAGGTAGTGATGTTGACAGCAACTTGATGATGCGGAAGTCGGCTTCATGAGTGCAACCACATTGTAATCTAACATGGATCTATTGTAAGATTTGTCCAATGTATTGCTTTATCACAAAAATGCCTAACAGTAGTAGATTTAATGGATTGTCATTCCGGGAAATGGGGCGGGAGGTTATAATTAAAAAGGAACACTTTTATAATATAGTAATCTATTAAAATAAATTGTATGTATGCCTGCTAGTTTTAGCTGTGGGCATCAGTCAATGTGGACAAAAGCATGTGGGAACAGTGGACTGTGTCCAGATTAGTGTGTGTTTTGTTTGTTTGCTTTAATCATGTCGTGGGACCTAATTTTATTTGGCAACAATGTGGTAACAAAAATGAAAGAGCAGTCGGTCAGTGCTTCAGGAGATTAGATTTAAAGTTTCAGTGCTTTAAACTGGCAAGCTATTTAATTTTGCAGATAGGGACTGAGTGATCTTTTCGAAGCCTACACCAATTCAGTGTCTAAATTAAACTGGAATTCATCTCTGCGGTTGTTTTTGAATGAACAGTTTTAAAATTTGACTGCCATTTGCTCACATATATTTCTAGGAAGTCACTCAGCTGACATGAGCTGCAGTGGAATGAGTAAGTAACTCAATAACAATCCAAGATTGGCAGACTTTTCTGCTTTGAGTGCCAATTGGGAAGCATCTGAGTTGGAAAAATTCAGTATTGACTGATACATAAAAAGGAATGAAACCATTATCTGTTGTGAAATAAAATATGGCTTTTAATAATACAGAGGTATAAATCCCAGTTATCTCTACTTCAAGTACTATGTGATGGTAACTTGCTTCCAAGCTTCTGCTAATTTTGGGCTGGAACCAACTAGGAGGAAATAGCCCCAACTATAATTTCCTTCCTTCATTTTAGCCCATCTCAGCTTCCTTTTTTCTCTCGCTCCTTCCCCCATACATCTGAAATATGGAGAAGTATTAAGTAGGGAATTAAATGAAACCAACTTTCCCATTGTGACTCTCTGTCTCAGATCCAAACATTCATTGTAGATGTTCCACAAAAAAAGGTTGTTCGTTCTATCGAGCTGTCAGCTCACTGCTGATGTTACTTCCTGTATTTGTGTGTTATGCACAGGAAGTGGCACTGACATTTCCTGTATGAGGCTAAGTTCCAGAAGTTCCATTGATGTCACTTCCTTTATGAAGTGATGTCAGTATCGCTTTGTAAGCATAGCCTGAAAGCGCAGTGTGCAAGAAGTGAAATCAGCGGTCACTTAATGATCTGGACGACAGATTATTTTAATTGCAGAAAATTGTTTCTTTAAGATTGGAAGCCAGATACATATAGTTGGGTCCCCAGTACACTTGCAAACACACGCTCAACTGGGATGTGTTCTCACTGGGTTGCCCTGTACTACAAATTTCATTGTCTAGTTCTAATCAGCGCTTTATTTCACATAATTAGTAAATAATGTGACAAACTTTTGTTTTCTTAGGTTGTCTTTTCTTCCTTGGTCTTGGAATTTTCTACATGTTTAGGCCGAACATTTCCTTTGTGGCCCCTGTGCAGGAAAAAGTTGTATTTGGGATGTTCTTCTTGGGCGCCATTCTTTGCCTAAGTTTCTCTTGGTTGTTTCATACGTTCTACTGCCATTCAGAAAATGTTTCACGTGTATTTTCCAAGTGAGTAAACCATCTTTGGGGTGATGTGATGAAATTAGATAAAATAAATTGATAATAAATAAGGGCTAGCCAACCATTTAATTGAACATTAACTTAAATATTCTTTACTTGGTCATTTTCCTTAACTTGAAATTAACTTTTGATTAAAAGGAGCACCTTGGTTGAATTTGACATGTCACAAGTTGCACCTCCACTCTTTTCCAAAAATACACTTGGCACATGATACATAACCTCATTGAGATTAGCATATGAATGAATCTGGCAACACAAAATGGAATTTCAGGAATAATCAATACTTTCCTAAATCTGTATCAATTGTTTATTTTTTAGTTTTTGTTTAATACATTCAAAGGGTATTCTTGAAAGCGTGAATTTTGTTCTGCTTGTAAATGCTGCTCGTAAATGCTGCTTGTACACCCAATGAAATGTCTACATTGTTTACAGTTTTGATTATTATATGATAGTATAATTAAATGGCTGAAAAAAATTTTTGATGTCACTTTGACATTTAGAAAGTAATTCTGCTATAACCTGAATTGCACATGCGAAGTACACGACTGAGTCAGGAACTCACCAGAACATGGTAAAGATTATTTTATAATCGGAACTGCATACACAATAAAGAATAAGAGTGAGAAATGCATACACACTAATGTAGTTTTTTTAATAATCAAATATTCTGATCTTTTGTTTAAATGTCAAATTCAGCCAAAGTAATTTGTCTGTGTTGTCGGTTAAAAACTAGTTCTTTAGCTTATATTTTACCACCAATAAAATCCATTTGAGTTTTCAGAAATATTTCTTATTCCTTTGAAACTACTATGCAAATATACATAGGTTTCGGAGGTAATAGGTTACGAGCAGTGCTTCCTTATCTATATTTTCAAAGGTTCATTTCAGTCCCTATTCAAATTTGGATATTTAGAGATACTGCAAAGGACATCCATTTTGTCCACAAATATCTTGTGCCATTATTGCTGATTTAGCTCTTAGTTGAGGAATGTGTGTGGCCAGTTTCAGCTTCTACTTAACATGTTTTCTAAATTAAGCCAAACAGTAAAACACTGCAAAAAAAAAAAAAAAAAAAAACTTGATCACTGATGTCCTCTCTAAATTTTATGATGAACGTAGACTTTTCACTCCCTTTTCTCTCTCCTGTCCTGAGGGGTATGCTAGGCATCATTCCCTGCTTACAGGCAACTCTCTGGTACTTTGTTCAAATGGTCATTCTTCATACGGTGGCCCGAGAGAATGTCGCGTGTGTGTCAAACATCATGCTTTGTGGTCATATTACAGAGACCACATTACAGTGAGCTGTTAAACAGGAGGTTTGACATCTACAGTCATTTGAAACCTTAACCCTGATCTTAACCGTATTAGTGCAGTGGGTTGTCCATCACAAATAAGGTGTTGTCAAACAGAGGAAGCAAAAATTGGTTGGTTAATGTATACCAACTGCTGCTCTTGCTTTTTTTCCTGCCCTGTGGCTAAGAGAGGCGGTGACCAGATCCTGTAGTAGGTCACTTGTCATCTTTTTAGGCATAGAAAGTATGTGGTTGAGAAGGCAGTCATTTAGAAATAATGCAAAAGAAAGAAATACATCCTTATTTTCAAAAGAGAACACACAGAAAATAATAATAATCCTTGCATTTGAGTGTATTTGTACTGATTGAGGTGTGCTGTTGCTTCATTGAACCTAATGTCTGCTTTTTCCCTGTTTTCAAACAGATTGGACTATTCTGGTATCGCACTTCTGATAATGGGCAGCTTTGTGCCATGGTTGTATTACTCATTCTACTGTAACCCACAGCCTTGTTTCATCTATTTGATCGTTGTCTGTATTCTTGGCATCACAGCAATTATAGTCTCCCAGTGGGACTATTTTGCAACACCACAATACAGAGGTGTACGAGCTGGTAAGTTCGCTTGCTGACCTTTTTGTCTTGGTTTTATAGAATATATTTTTGAGCAATGTCCTTCTCTTATGCCTTCAGTTTTATTGTGGCAAGAAAGTGACACAAGATGAGAATGTAAAACTTGAGTATGTTTTCATTTCAAAGAAGAAAATCTAATTGTTTTAAAAGACTGAGTTGTTGTAAGAATCAAACAATTGACTATCAATTTATTGTTATTGATTTTTTTTTGAAGGAATTATTACCCCCAGAAAAACGATGCTCCAATTGACTAGCAACTGGGTTCCTTCTTACTGCTAGGTAAACTGAGGCGTGTGGAGTAAAGAAACTATATTTCGCCTTGCTGGGAATTGAACCCAGGTCTCTTGCTTGTGAGGCGAGTGGTCTAACCACTAAGCTACAGGACTCCATAGTCCTGTATCGTAGACGGCTTGCACAGCATAAACTACTACTCTGTGGATGTCTCTGAATTGTAGTGAAGGTTCATCAAGATGAGAAAATACAAGGCTTGGAAATTTCCTCCCACTTTGTTCCTGATAACCTTGTGAATCAAATACTACAACTAATAATCTTTCATTTGATATAGCGCCTTTCACATCTGGCGGCTGTCTCAAAGTGCTTCACAGGCCATACTGTGAAGTGTAGTGACTGTGGCGAACCAAGGCCCAAATGGGTAGATGGTCCTAACACAGTTAGCTGGAAAATGTCCACTTTGAGGTAATTATTGCCTTGGCATCTGTCAAACTGCAGCTGGTGTCTAATTCTCTGGAGTTAGATAAGCAGTTCTTTCCCTTTCTCTCCTCTTCCGCCAAACCCCCCCCCCCCAACACACACACTACCTCCAGCAGAGATTGGACATATCTAGGAAGTACAAACAAAAACTCTGTTTCCGAGCGATTTCCATATTTGTCAGACTCCTGAAATAAAAAGCAAATGATTACATTTCAATAAACTAGTCAGAAGTAGCGTGAGAGTTTTAAAAAACAATTTCTGGGTCACTCCTTATCTCATCAATTAATATAGTTACAAAAAGTTTTAAGGTGGAATTGAAGCATTCTTTGTGAATTGTATTTCAAAAGCTACCCTACATGGAGGGGGCTATATAAGTGCAAGTTGTTGTTGTTGTTGTTTGTCCCTACTTCAGCATAGGACATGTTGGTCATTATATCGAGCAAAGTACAACAGCATCAATTTATATTTATGTAGCACTGCGAGGTCATCTCAAAGTGCAGCTGTGCAGGATGGGGGAAAAATGGGGGAAAAATGACTGAAAGTGTCATCAAAAAAAGTTGTTAAGGTGAGCTGGATGAACTCCAGGATGGAGTTTCACCAGAATAATAACCACCAGAGAACAGAGGCAGAATGGCTGAAATGAAAGCTCACCCACCAATGGTGAGGCAGGTCAGATAGGGGATATGAAGCAGGATTGGTGTTAGCCTGAGTGGGCGGAATGGCCAGAGCAGTAGGATTGTAGTAGGTAACAGAGGTAGGATGGGATGAGGCCATAGAAGGATGTGAATGTGAGATCAAATAATTAAAATTGACATACTAAAATTAACAGAAGGTATTTCATTAAAGTAAAAATGAAATTGCTGTATTCTCTTCAAATAGTTATTTACTTATCCATTAGGCTCACAAAATTGAACCATTTATTGTTGGTGAATGTAGACTGGCATTTGTTTTAGTGTGTCAGGAAAGGAAACGGCATTTGACAGTTTTAATCTTTAAATTTACAGATGTATCAAGCTTGAACACTTGGTATAATATTCACAAAAGCTCGGGTGGATACAGACACACCCAACTGGGAAGGGCAATATAAATACCTGATTTTTTTACCAATCAAAATTGTAAATACAGGAAGACAATAGTACACCTATTGATATACTTTTAAAATTCTGTACTGGAAAATAACTACATCACTCATGTAACAAATAGCAATTGGTGCCACCATGCTTGGAGTCCTGTAGCTTACTGGTTAGAGCACTTGCCTCGAAAGCAAAAAGTCTTAGGTTTGATTCCCGGCAAGGCAAAACATTGGACAAGTTTCCTTACTCCACACGCCTCTGTTTACCTAGCAATAAGTAGGATCCCGGTTGTTAGTCAATTGGTGGATTGCTTTTCCGAGGGTAATAATTCCTTCAAAATAAATAAAAATAATTTGGTCACTCAATCCATGACTGTTTGTGGGACACTGCTGTGTGCAATTGGCTGCTGCTGCGTTTCGCCCACAAAATATGCAGTCAATTCACTTTACAGTATATTCTGTGAAATGGTTTGAAACATCTTGAAGACACGATAAAGCGCTATATCAAATGCAAGGATATTATGCTTGCTTCATCTCAACAGCTAATACATTATTTGCATTCATAGATTTGTTCTATCTTTTGATGGAGGACGAGGAGTCCTGTAGCTCAGTGATTAGAGCACTCGCCTTGCAAGCGAGACACCTGGGTTCATTTCCAGGCAGGGCGAAACCTTCGGCAAGTTTCCTTACTCCACATGCCTAATAATAATCCCTCCAAAGCAAAACAATAATACATTTGTCATTTTCAATCCACGACTGGGACACTGCTGTGCGCAATTGGCTGCCGCGTTTCGCCCACAAATATAGGTCAATTCACTTTACAGCATATTCTGTGAAACGTTTTGAGACGTCTAGAAGACGTCAAATGCAAGGATTGTTGTTATTATTACATAGTCACGACCAAAGCTTTCAAGAAATTAAAACACTGACGTATTCTCCAACTCCAAAAATATGTGATCATTTCGTTAAGCCTAGAGACACAAATACTTAGTTATTTGCCCACTTCCTTTTAATGAAATTGAATCTGTATAACCTAAACCTGCCCTCCAGGTAAAATCTTAAGTACGGCTTGTCTAAGATTCAAATCTGAGCTCCTCGTTTCCATTTTGGTCGTCCAGGCATGTAGTAAGGTAAGTACTGATCTGAATATTGTATTTCCGGATCAAATAATACTTGTGTTTTTACTAGGGCATCATAAGCACTTCACTTTACCATCCTAATGTTTGGACTTTTTCCAAATGAAAAACTGGTTCTGGTTTCAGACTTTTATGTTATGCTGTGGTTCATTGCCTCTTCTGTTTGCCTGTAGGAGTGTTTGTAGGATTGGGGCTGAGTGGAGTTGTGCCTACTCTGCACTTCATGATATCCGAAGGATTTTTCAGAGCTGCTACAATTGGACAGATAGGCTGGTTGTTCTTAATGGCAGCGCTGTATATCACAGGAGCTGCCTTATATGCTGCCCGTATCCCTGAACGATTCTTTCCTGGAAAGTGTGACATTTGGGTAAGTAATTAGTGATTAACTTTTCTGACCTCCTTTGGAAATCTTAGTGGTGGTGCTGACCTCTTTCTTATGAAAAGGTGTAATAATATGTAAATGCCATAATGAGACATTCAAGAATATTGAAGTCTTGTAAACGCTGTGCAGAGCTTAAACAACTTTGTGCCTAAGCAAATGGAAAATCTACCAAAGTGAATAAAGCTGATCCCATTGACAATGCTTCTGATCAAGAAAATTATGAAACCAATAAATTCAAGATGATCATTTGGTATAATTGTCTCTTGGGTTCAAGGAATATTAAACAGTGTTCTGTGCAGAGTGATGTGTGATTCTTTTTGACCCTTAAGGGATATTCTTGCCTGCGTTATGATGTGGATAAATCATCATACTTTGTTATGGTTAAATTCATAGAATCATAGAATTAAATAGCACATTTGCCCCATCGTGTCTGTGCTGGCTCTTTGAAAGGAGCTATCCAAATCAATCCCACTCCCTCGCTCTCTCCCCATAGCCCTGCAAACTTGTCCTCCCCAAATAATTATTTACTTCTCTTTTAAAAGTTGTTATCGAATCGGCTTCCAACACCCTTTCAGGCAATGCATTCCAGATCTGAGCAACTTGTTGTGTAGAAAAATTCTCCTCATCTTTTCTTTTAACAACTATTTTAACTCAGTATTCTCGGGTTACCGTCCCACCCGCCAGTGGAAATAATTAAAAAGGCCAGTTGGCTTTTCACATTCTCAAAAAAATGGCTGACTTCTGGATTATACAATCGTTGTTCACAAAAGTAATATCGAAAGCGACCTGATGAGCTAGGAATTCAGACATATTTAGCGCAACAAAAGTAAGCCAGCATTTTGAAGTGTGCATTTTGGATTTTTGGTGAATATGTTGGAGGCCACACCACTACTGTGCTAGAAGCAAACTTGTATTGTAACAGGGTTCAATTGTATATAACTTTACATGTGGAAGCTAAACTTAGGGAAATAACTGGGGCAGTACTCGAAGGAAATTGAGGACAAGAGGGCACAGGTTCAGGGTAATAAAGATAATATTAGGAAATGTAGTGGACGTATTTAGGAAACAACGTTTGTTGTCTCTTGGGATCTTGTGTCAAAACACTTGTCAAAGCATGGCGGGTATGCTGGTAAATGCATAGAACATTAGTCTTGCATATTGATTCAGATGAATAGAGAAGTTGAGTTCCAAATTATTCTTGATAATGGCTTTCTAGGTACTAACTGTGAACTTGTTTTTCCGCAGTTCCATTCCCATCAGCTTTTCCATGTGCTGGTCGTGGCAGGTGCATTTGTCCACCTTCATGGAGTCTCAAACCTTCAGGAGTTCCGTCGAGGTATAGGTGGTGGATGCACTGATAATGACTTGCTATGAAACTCTAATTGCGTTTATGGTGGAACGTCGTCATTGAAATCAGTGACAGAAAAATTCTGAAAGACCTGTGCTGATCAAAAGTCTTACCTCAGTTATATTTGAGTGAATCAGTTCCTATATTAGGCGTTTCACGACTAATGATCAATTTTTTCATTACATGCCTGTCTTGGATGTTACGGTAATAACTAGCCAGGCATAGAAACCAATAGTAACCAGAGAAGTGTGAGTAACTGGACATGTGAATAACTAGTGCGACTTCCTGAGGAGTACAGCACTGCAACGCATCAGAAATGTTGTTTTCAACAGCGATCTGGGTGTTCGGAGGAAGGAATCCCTGTATAGTAGAGAAAACCCATCTGCTGCAAAAGGAAGTCAGCTGGTAACTGGTTACCAATGTGATCGTCTAACTAGTCGTGAAACACCAATGAAAATATGTAAATTATAAATTATATGCTAGTATGTAATTTACATAATTGCTGAATCTGAAACAAAGTTCTGCTTTATTGAAATGCCATATTTATTTCTAGGGAAGATATAAAAATGGAGGAAGAACTTGAAAGAGTTAATACTTCTGAGCAGGGTCTGACTGCTAACAAAAATGATTCTTGTAAATAAGATTTCTAACTTTCAGTTAATTAGAAAATTTATATTGTAAGAACTTTTTGTACAGAAAAGCATTTGCAAGAGTACCACACACTGTTAACTTACATTGCACAAATGTTAGTAGACATCACTTCAGGTAGTAGAGATATGCTAGTACAAGAAGCAATGCAAACAAGCCTTTCTTGTGTTGGCTTACCCAGTACGTATCCTGTCAGGCCTAATAATTTTATTGTTTCTATTCTGCCGTATGCTACGCTTATGGATAGCAGTGATTGGGAAATCAACTGGAAGGCAGAGTGTCCAAATTTTTGTTGATCCTGTATCAATTTCACCTTCTAAGGAATCATATGCATATATATGTATAATATGTTCTACGTACATATTCATTCATATATAACAGTAATTTATTTTTACTCTTCTGTGTAGTGCATGGAAGTAATGTCCTATATTTGTTTGTCATTTTGTGAATGGTCAGTGTAATGTGATAACTGGACACAGATGCAGTTTGCTATTACGTTTGGTTGGAACTGGAGATGATTCACTTTTAATCCTGTCTTCAGTTTATTTTATCACATTAAAAGGATGTTCCAGCAAACCTAGAGCTAGGAAATAGGAAAGCCAGTTTATATTTGTTTTAATGGACTACAACACAGAATTGCCCCTTTCCCATGAGTGCAATCACAATGATTTATGTATTTTGACCATAGCACCTTACCACTGTCATTGGGAATTGGGCAAAGTGTGTCACTTCAGGATGCAAAATGAGTTTTAAAACAAGTCCTGATATTTGTTTGCTGTAACATTTATATTTTAAATATGTTCACCTTAAACTTTTAACTCATTCGCATATACTGGAACAATGATTTTTTTTAGGATAACAGACCTGCAGTTCGAAACAGACCTGCTGTGAAAAATGTTTCTCTATGGCAAATGACAGTGGAGTGACCCAGTCCTATAAAGTGGTGCTTGCTTCTGTACCAGATGATCATGGGCCCCCTTATCTTCTTTCTTTCACCCTTTCAAATTAGACATTAGCATGTCAAGTTGAGATGAATTTTGACTGTACCACTGAGTGCTTTTGAGGGTTGGGGGGATGGAGAAGGGAAGTGTAAAAGTTGAAGGCAGGTTGCATCTTGTTACCAAATACCTCCTGTTGATCAGGCAGTTTTGAGGAATCCAATAATTCCATCATCCTGTGAAAGGTTAATTCATGAATGCAGTGGAGTTCCCAAGGGAGGAAGAAAGAAGAGAAACAAAATCTTAGCAGTTCGCTAGCTTTAGCAATACCATTGGATTCCATTTCAGAGTCATATTAATTCATACCTTCTCGTAACATTTCAATTTCACAATAGAAAAGGAGTTCAGAATGGGTTTGAGGACGCCCTTTTGGGAGCAAGTCCATCTTACTCACTCTGAAACAGTTGATATTCTTTGCTTTTTGATCTCCTTTCTTTCTCCGCTCTGGCCAATCTAACTTCATGTTATGCAAGTAGAAAAAGTCTTCATGAAGGTTTTAAATTCGGAATGCAGAAGGATAATTGTAAGGTGGTAATGGAAGTTCTCAATGAACCCTTACTGATACAGGGTTTGCTTGACTAGTGCTTCAAGAGTTGAATGTGATGGAACATTTCTTTCTGCATAACTCAATTGGCGTGAGAAGTTATTTCTGATCTTTCAAATGGACAAAATCATCCACTTAACCTCAAACTTCACTCTGCGTCCATTACACTGAATTAATGGTACTTTTTGCAACTTTAGATCAGTTATCGAGTTAATTATATACCCAACGTTGCGCAGAGGTAGGTTTCAAATAGTCTGATACTAGACCTTCTGCTTGCTGTAATATTACCAACTTCCCAACATGTCAAAACAGGAGGTCCTAATTGTTGCAATCATGCAGGATTCTGATCTCCTTCAAGAGAAACAAACACTACTAAATAAAAAACGCATATCTGATCTGGACACAAATCAGCTGTATCCAAGATAAAGAATGGTTGTGTTTTTTTAAAAAAATTGTACTGTATTTGGTTGTCTTGTATCGCACATACAGCACTTGCTGCTTAGCCCTGCTAAGATTTCCCAAGAGTTTGCCCAATGCCTTATTAGGATCTGTGTTTTGCTTATTGTGTGGAGTGTTTTATAGTTGAAAGTATTTCATTTTCAAATAAAAGGGGGCCTTGTTTTGTTTTCTTTTTCACTGCTTTAGTTTGATTGTCTTTAGATTGTTATAAGCACACATCGGCTTTGAGGGTATAATTGGATCTTTTTACTTGATGTAACATTTAATTCTACTAATAAAAAAGAGACAAAAAAATGCTTTTGGTTATGTAGTTTTGCAGCACCATCGAGCCGATGCATTTACAGAGGCAAATGCTCAATAGGTCGTACATAGGTATCGGGTGTCTCATCTAGAAGTTTTTCCATCTTCTCGCAAGACCAACTGGGAACTTGTTGTGCAAGGCCCTGCTGAAACCAGATCTACCACTCACATGGTAGAGTTGATTTGCCTTGATTCCTGAGTAGACTGCATAAAAGTCTCACTATACTGAAACTGGCTTCTCTGGAGATTTAGCAGCAACAGGCCTGCACTCTAATGTGGTGCTGGGGGTGCATTGCATGATTGGAAGTGCTAACCTTTGGTGAGATGTTAAACCCAATAAATACGCAGTCACTTCACAGTAAAATCCTGTGCACCCCTTTGAGAAATCTTGATGATGTGATAATGTGCGATATCGAATGCAAGGATTGTTTATTATGAAATGGAAGGCTAGATGCATCTCAACACCAAATATGTTACTCTTGTTCAAAATCAAAGTCTGGAAGTTCCAGCCCCACATCAAGACTTCGAGATCACAGCCTGTAGACTGCAATGTTGATGGAGTGCTGCATTTTCAGAGTTACTGCCTTTTGCTTGAGAGGTCAAACAGGTCACATCTGCCTGATACATTTGCATAAAATTGGCATAATTGCATATCATTTGCACACATGCCGGAGACACTGCTAATTTGCCTGTGTTTGCAAAATCTGCATTAAATCTGCATATTTTGCATATCATTTGCACACACTGTGTCAGTTTACATATATTTGCATAATCTGCATACATCTGCGTGATTTGCATGTTATTTGCACGGGTGTCAAAAGCACGACAGCACATTACATAGAAATCTGCATAATTTTGTATATCATTGAGCGTATTGTGACTGACAACTTAAGACAACAGCTTTGTGCTCATCCTCCCCTCCATCACCCACCCTGGGAATTTTCCCAAAAGAGTAATTTCCATAAACTGGATTTTTTGTTGGGAAGGTTGGAGGTGTTTGCTTGTGGTGCAATGTTGATCTTAAGAGAGAATGGTTAATTTTGATGGCTTTCCACGTGGTCTCTATTTCTCAGAAATTGTGGATGGAGAGTTCATTTTAGGTCATATCCATCTGTGGTCTGCTCAAAGTAGAAGGTAGAAGAATGCAATAATAGTATTTGAGGAAAAAGACCAAGGACAAGCACAGCACAATTTATTGCAATGAAGTTGGAATTACTCTTTTTTTTCCAGTTTGATTACATATTGACTCTACAGAAGAAAATGTGATGGAGTCAAAGGAGAATTGACAGTGACAGCAGCTCAACTGCAACTATTGTGCTGGTCACTCAAATGAGTATTCTCCTGGGGCCACAATTAAACCAAAATAATGTTAAGGATTTTCCATTTTGGATATAAAATCTTTAAACCACATTAAGGGGATTTCCTGCTGATTTCACTGCAGATCCCACTAAGCATTGAATAGGTGTACAATGGTGTATAGTAGTATTCTAAACAGAAAGTACACCTTAAAGAGTGCTAAACCATTTTTAAAGATTAAAATATCAACAGTAGACATGCCACGATTTTTGCTGGGACACTTTAGATCTATCCACACAATTTTGCTGAAAATATGCAATTGTAGGTAAAATATCTAAAGTTAGATATTTAAACGGTTCAATCAAGCTTCCAACCAATGTATCCTTTTTATTCACACTTTAGCTTTGTTTATCTAAGGGTATTTCCTTGCAACACCCTGTATGCTTTCAAGAATTCCCTACCTAATTATATCATCACCTTGAAAGATAATGTATCTAAATAGACGTTAATTGTAGTTCTGCAGCTTTGTTGAGTTTTAAAGCACTTCCCTTAAATATTGCACCAGACACAGATATGTATCAAAATCACAATTTATTAAATACCTACATAAATATTCGGTTTGTCCAACTGTTTAAATCACATGCAACCTTAACAATAATGTTTCAAATACAACTTCTTACATACAAATAATTTCCTCTTGAAATAATTTGTCATGCAAATCAAGGTCATTACTCCACACAAGAAAGAAATAATCTGTGTTACTTTTTATCAGCAGCCTTAAATCAGTCCCATTCTCGTGCTTACACTTAATCTTAAATGATGGACAAATACTTAAAAACCTTGGCGCCTCTTCAGACATGACTATTGAGGTCTTTGTTAAACTGTTGTTTACATCGTCATTCTTATTAATAAAAAAACCTTGGTATAATGTCTTTCATGTAAGAAGGGCATCTCAGAATACTTCACACGATTCACTGTAGCGTGGAGTGAGACTGAGTTTTGTGTTTCTTCGGATACTGCACACAGTTGGGTCCTTATGCATAATACCACTACACCAGTGTGAGATCACTTGTTCCTTGCTACACCTTAAAGTCATATCTCTGTCATTTTTGACCTGCAACTCTGCACTTGTTAACATCTTTAAGCACTCTGAGACTCCTTGTGGCTGAGCTGGCTCCACCTGGGTCCAAAACACTGATTGTCCAGCACCTTGAGACGTCCTCCTGACATGAAAGGCGCTATACAAATGTAATTTTGTGGTTGTTCTTGCTTCTCTGGGGCCTGCCGGTCTGTCATCAACAATGCCTGGGAGTACTGTCATCACAGGTGCATTTTCTTTTGGGATGACTGGATAGTTCTCAGAAGAATTAACTTGTCTCCTACCCAGTAAAATGTATTACAGCATCTCTACTGTTAAGTCTGGTGAGATGAGCAAACTTAGCACAGATTCAATCTGTGGCGTGTCATGATCATGAGTGACTCTGCTTGGATTAGGAATCACCGGACAAAGAGCGGTTTGGTGACACAAAACAAAGTTTTATTTTCATTGCTCTCGACCTTTGCTATCTCAGTTTGCTTACGATATTTATGTTACATTCTATATCTAGGACAATATTTCTCAGTTCCATTTATCTGCCTTGGCTTGCTCAATCAGGTGAACTTTCTTAAATGTTAAGAGTGGTGAACCTCATTCCTTTTTTTGCTTTCCGTGCAATGTCTAAGCTTGCTATTCAGCCAAGTGTAAATGTTTACAATCTACAATGATTTTTAAAAAAAATGGATTGATGAAAACTGTCTTGGCTTTGAGTTTTACAATCTCAACCCATTGCATTGCACTCTGGCCACTGGATCAAAAAATTTAGAAAAAACATCAGTCAAATATATCTGCAGAGCTGCTAATTGTCCACTTTTGAAATGAATCTGTTATTCATCTCTGCCAGCTTCTACATAAAACAGAATTAATCAGATTGAAAACATAGTTTAGCCAGTAAAAAACACAGATTATTGATGGTGTTTCTATGTTTCTATGGGGTGTGGACACAAATGAGTTAACACTACACCATGTAAGCAGATGATGATTATATTTCCACACATAGTGAAAGACTATATAATAATAATCCTTTCCTTTGATATAGTGCCTTATCACATCTTTGTGATGTCTCAAAGTGCTTCACAGAATATACTACATCAAGTGGGTGAAATGCGGCAGCCAATTGTGCACACCAGTGTCTCACAAACACTCGTGGATTGACTAACAATTTTTTTTAGGAATTATTACCCCCTGGAAAAGCGATCTGCCAGTCGACCAACAACCAGGTTCCCACTTACTGCTAGGTAAACAGAGGCATGTGGAGTAAGGAAACTTGCCCAATGTTTTGCCATGCCGGGAATCAAACCCAGGTCTCTTGCTTGCGAGGTGAGTGCTCTAACCACTGAGCTGCAGGACTAGAATCATAGAATCATAGAATAAAATTATACCACACAGGAGGCCATTATGTCCTTGCTGGCACTTTGAAAGAGCTGTCCAAATTAATCCCACTCCCCCAAATTTTTATTGAATCAGCTTCCACCACCCTTTCAGGCAATGCACTTCAGATCCGAACAACTCGCTTTGCGA